AAAAACCATCTGGTCAGTGGCTGAGGCACTCTTTCCGTTATACCAGAAGAAGCTCAAAGAAGGGAAAGATGAGTTTTTGGTGAAGGAATAAGAGATGCATACATGTGTATGGGGTGTCATGGCATCATTTGGTGATGATTCCACAGGAGGAAAAGGAGGGGGACTATTAAGTAAAGGTATCCAGGATGGATGGGGCATTGTAAGATGTCCACATGTGCTGGGAGGGGAAGTATGAGATATGAAAAGCTAAGTGGGGCCCTTAAGTGTCATTGTATTGTATTGAAACAAATTTGTGCCACTTTGGGTTTCTAAGTATAGGTATGCTATAATCAAGGTTTTGCTGTTGGAGAGGTGGACTGCATATGAGAGGAGGGGCTAGAACTTCAGAGCTGGGGTACCAGGAGAGCATGTGGTAGTGGGAGCAGGGGGAGACTTGAATGAAAGTGACTATGCAGGATCTTGGAAAAGAAGAGACACATCTGAGGATGTGAGGAAGATATTGAAGCTAGAAGGACCAAAAACTGTACTGACTACAACAAAACAAAGTTATGAAATGTTGTTTTCCCCTAATTTCTAGATAGCCCCTCACTCAAATCAAAAGATGTTGCATGTAATCACATAATATCACCAGCTGTTTGCATTTGTAGTAAGGCTTTTAGATGCCTTTCTCATACAGGAAAATTTCCCTTTGCTGCACATTATTGCCAAAATATGACACAAGGGAAAAAAAAACAACAACAACCAGGCATTGAAAACCTAATAGCACATATTCACTTCAGGCCCTAGGAAAAATCAAGGTTATATTTTTTAATTTCTTTAAAGCACCGGGAATCACCTTTCATTTTCACTTCTAGTCAGTTCTAGTCTTTCAACACAGCTTTTACTTCTGAAAATGGACTTCATCGCCCCCCGCCCCTGCCAAATTATACTAGTGTTAAATCATCCATGCAATCTTTGGCATCATGCAGCCAAAGGCTTAAGAACTTTACATTCACATAGATACTGAAGAGAGTCTTTACCTTAGAGAAATCAGGCTATGGGACAGGTAATACTCTTAATACTGTAAAAGAGTTCCTGTCACTGACATTAATTTTTCAAAGAGTATCACAACTGGTAAAGTATAAGAAGATCTGGCAAAAAATTTCTGGGTAGGTAACATTTACATTAACAACTTAACATCTCTAGTTGTAAATTTAGCTGTGTATTTACATTGAATTAGGTATATTATTTGCTTCGAGGGTGCATGTGTATGTTTTTTTTTTGTTTTTCTTTCTGGCCAATATGTTAGGGAAAAGAAATCCAACGTGTGTACTGTTTATGTGTATAAGAATGTCAGAATAAAAACCTACATCCTCTTTAATTCATTCTTCTGGTATTTGCAATAATAAAGACTAAATAAATGAAGTATATAAACTTAGGAAGACAGGTCATTATCTTTGACCCAAATCATCTTGCTTTGAAACAGAACTATAGTATCATATAGAATTGGATTTGACAGATACTTCCAACACTGAAATTTTATGATTCTGTAATTTCAACACATTCTTTTATGCAGACAGAATTATGCATTCTTGGTAAAATAACTTTGCCATCTTTAGATTTTCTGCTTTTTCACATCCCTGCATACACATGGAAGTAGAAGAGAAAGGACTAAACATAAAGGATGTGCACATACTTTTGCCAGGGTATGTGGACTTTTTTCCTACCTCCTCCCAGCTGTTCACACCTTACTGTTTAAATCCAAGTTCTATACAGAGATAGAATTATACAAACTGAATTGGAAATGTATGCCTGTACACAGACACACACTCACATACAATTGTCTCCAGTATCCTAAGTGCCAATAATACCTTGCTTCTTTATTTTCTTACTGTTTTTGCCCTTCCATATCCATCCCCAGCTCACACAATGAAGTGATTCTCTCTCTTAAACCTTTTCCTGTTTCTATCTGGGGAGTTGCCTTAATTTAACATTTCTATTCTTTCTTATGTCAGCAATTTAACAAACTTTGCTAGTATTTTTTTTTCTAATACTTGATATACTTCTCTCTTTTAACCACACTATACAGTTTCTAGATATTAACCTTGACCTATCTCTATTTTCGTTAACCCTCTGGAATGGAGTTTTGTACTTTGTTTTCTTTTTTTTTTTAAACAAATTTATTTTATTTATTTTTGGCTGCGTTGCGTCTTCATTGCTGCATGCAGGCTTTCTCTAGTTGCAGTGAGCGGGGCTACTCTGTGTCGGTGCACGGGCTTCTCATCGTGGTGGCTTCTCTTGCTGCGGAGCAGGGGCTCTAGGCGAGTGGGCTCAGTAGTTGTGGCTCCCAGGCTCTAGAGCACAGGCTCAGTAGTTGTGGCACACGGGGTTACTCGCTCCGCGGCACGTGGGATCTTCCCGGACCAGGACTCGAACCCCTGTCTCTGTCTCCTGCATTGGCAGGCGGATACTTAACCACTGAGCCACGAGGGAAGCCCTGTACTTTGTTTTCTTTCATCATTCTATTAACATGCCCATGGCTGGAGCCATAGGAAGGAAGTGCAGTCTGGAATACGTTTCCACGTACAGAGGCACTTGCTCTAGAATATATTTATGGTAAGTCCGCCACTCAGCTCTCTTTGAGAAAGAGCTGTTAGTACAAGAACTGCCACGATGACATAATGTCTTATAGCATCCTTCCACTCTTGCAGTTAAACTCACTTCTTTCACTCCCTGCCCCACCTAGAGGAAAACTTTACAGTGTTTCCAGTAGAGGCAAGTTTTTCATTTAAAGGCTGTGCATCTGTTGATGGTCTACGGTTTTTCAAACTTGTCTTTTCATGTTGTTTTGATCCAGATGTAGAGGAATGTAAAGGGCTGTTTACCCGGCGCCCAGGATCAGGCCAGCGGGTGGGGTTCGGGGCTGCTTTCTCCGGAAGAGACCCCACCCCAAGGAGGGCCCCTCAGCCCCCAGTTTCCATCTTCCTTTGGGCTTCCTGATTCCCTTGCCGCACCCACGTCTTCGGATGTGGGCTTCCATCGCCTTCCCGCTCGCGCTGCTTTCCTATTCTAAGGATACTTTGCTTAAGGAGTGGGGCACAATTTTTGGCCACCTTCACTTATTTGTTCTTCGACACCCTAACACCAGGACAGACCCCTCCTCTTAATCCTGATTTCTCAGGCGCAGGCCCACTGATTCATCCCGTCAGGACCAGAAGTGGGCTGTGGAATCCTGCTCCGGTCTGGACCACCTTGCCCATCTTCCTCACCTACAGAATGTGGCAGGAGGTAGAGAGCACACCAGGCAGTGCACTGCCTTTGTTTTCATTAATAACGCACACCGGGCCTCTAGAAGTGTTTGGAAAATGCCACAGAAAATGTAGAACATGGCTTTTCCCGGCTAGAACTCGTCCCTTCACTCTCATTTCCTGTTTCTCGGCCTCTGCCTCCTTTTTCTTCCCACCCTACTTCGTGCCACACTTGCGAATCTTTCTTCCCTTAATGTAAACTTCCCCTTCGCTGCCTTCCCACGGCCGGGGCGGTTTCCCACGCGGGGCGGGCTCAGGGGCGCCGCGCCGGGGTGTCCGGCGGCCTGGGCGCCCCAGCGCGCTCACGCAGCTTTGCAAGAAAGTGGCGCACGCAATCGCCACCTCGGCCGGCCGCGCCCGGTCCGCCAGCTCCCAGCCCCGCGCGCCGGCTTCCGCCCCCGCCGACCCTCCAGCGCGGCGCTGACCCCGCGCCCTAGGGGCCACCGCGGGAACGCCGGGCCGCACGGGCTGCCTCCTCCCCCTCCCGCCCCAGAGTCGCGCCGATCCGCTCCCCCGGGCGCGGAGGCGGGGAGGGAGGGGCCCCCGGGAAGGGCGTGAAGGACGCGGCTCCTGGCTGCCCGCATCTCGGGGCGCAGGGCGGGGTGGGGGTGTGCTGGACTCCCCTCTCCGCCGCTCCTCGCTCCGGGTCTGCAGCTCCTGCTTCCTGCTCCTCCCGCCCGCAAGTCCGCCCGCCTGCCTAAATTCCGAGCGAGGGCGGACGCCCCTTCTCCCCGGTCTCCCGAGCCGGCCGCGCGGCTCCGCCTCGCCCCCATTCATCCCGCCAAGGTGAACCGCTGGGAAGGAGGACGCCCCCGCCTAGCCCGCAACTTGCGTCGCTCCAGAACCCAAACAATGCTTCCCCCGCCTTCCGCGTGCGGCCCTCCGCCTAGCCCAGCCTCGCGCGCAGCCCCGCGCGCAGGGAACCGCCTGCCCGGGCCGGGACCCCATTGTTGCCCGGCGCGGGCGATGCCCGGCGTCCGGGGGCGGTCCCCGCGAGCGGTCCCGCAGCCTCCGCCGGCCGCCGGAGCCGGCTCCGCCCACACCTTTCCAAGTTAGCTGGTGGGTGAGCCGCGGGGACGGCTCGGGCCCCCGGCCCCCTCCCTGCACGCTTTCACCCGGGCGGGAGGGGAGGGGAGAGGAGCGGCGGGGGCTGTGGGCCGAGCGGGCTCCGCGCTTTATTTGTCTCCGAATTCTCTTCCTAAGGCTGCCTAGCGCGCTGACACAAAAGAGGGGACTTTCTCGCGGCTCCGCGCGAGTCCTCCCCAGACGAGTTGAAATCGGGGGTTCCTCCCGCCGCGAGGCCCCGCGGGCACCCCTCGCCCCGCGGCTCCCGAAGCGGCGTTGGCCATGTGTAGGTTATTTTGGGTGCCGCAGCAAGGTGGTGCAGGTGATCGGGAGGCTCCGCCGCGGCCGGGGGCGGGGGCAGGGGTGGGGCGGGGTGGAGGTTCCGCGGACCCACCCCCCAGCCGGCGGCCCGGGCGCCGAGGCGAGGGCCGGGCAGTGGGTGTTGCCTTCTACCTCTGCGAGCGGGGAGGGGTTAGTTTCCCACAGGGGATTTCAACCATCACACTCAGAGCCCGCCTCCTAATCCTCGGGCGGAGCGGCTCGGGGGCCCCATTTTATGGCAATAAAGCGACTTAGCGCCTGCTGAGCGAGCCCCTCCCCGCCGCCGCCCCCGCCCTCGGCCCCACCCCGGGGCTCGCCCGCAGCGGCGGGGCTTTGTTTCGGGGGAGGAGGACCCGGAGCTCTTTTGTTTGGGGGTTTGGTGTTTTCACCTCCCCCCCCCGCTTCCCCCAACCCTCCCCCCCACTCCGCGCCTCTCCGGTTTCCTGAGCTGCGGGCTGCAAGGGAGGAGAAGCGGCGTCTTGCAACCCCCCTCGGCTGGGCCCCGGGGTAATTCGATGCGGGCCTGGCGAGGCTCCCCCCGCTAGACCCGGGCTCGCGTCTCGGCAGCCTCCACCCACCGGCCCACCCTACATTTAGCGCATCATGTGATCCGGGTAAGTCATTTGCAAGTACAACAGTTCCCTGGGTTGCCCCCCATTCATTTCCTGAGAACTGCAGAGAGCAGCTGAGAGGCTCTGCCCGTGCGTGTGCGAGTGTGCGTGTGAGTGTGCGCGGGTGACGCCGTGTGTGTGTGTGTGTGAGTGTGCGCGCGCGCGCGTGTGAGAGCGAGAGAGAAAGGGAGAGAGAGAGGGGGACTCTGTGTGAGGGAAAGAAAACAATTTCTCCTGCTCTGCAGCTTCTGTTCAGGTCTGTGCCGATTCCGTTTCTTATCAAAATAAACAACCCCCTCCTCTTTTTTTTTTTGTGCCATCCCAGATCAGACCGTATTCTCTTAACATGTTTTATTTTCCTTCTGTCATCTGCTCAAGTTAAATCATTTTGGTTGGTCTGTGTTCGTAAAGGGGGAAAGTGTTGGGAAGCGGGAGGGGGCCGAGGGAGGGCGATGCTACTGCAGAGCAAGTAGCGTCGGTTGGATTCGTGGAGAAGAAAGGAGGAGGTTTCTCCCCCCACCCCCGCCTCGCAATTTTTTTTAAAAAAGAACTTACCAAGTAGCGTGAATTAAGCAAATGTTTTTCTACCCCTCGTGGAATTGTTGGTTGCAGTGCTTGCCTGACAGTTGCCAAGGATGAGAAATAAAACACCAGGGCTGAATTGGGGAGGGGGGAGCTTGTGGAAGTAGTGTGCCCCCAGGAAGAGAGCGAGTTGGGTGAAGAGCTGCCGCACCGGGCCTTGTGGGCTTGGGTGTGCACTGGAGAGAGCGGAGGGGAAGGGGTTAAGGCGAAGATGACACTGCTGGCATGAATAGTGGTCCTGGTGCTACATTCATTATTGTCTCTGGTCGTAATGATGTGTAACTGTCACTTGCTACAGTGCCTGGTCCATGGAAGTAGCCAGGGGCTGGCCCGTGGCTGTTATTTTCAATTACGGGGGGCCTGACCGGAGTTGACAATGGGCAACTTTGCAGGGCCACCCGGGCCGGGAAGCCCGCGGAGACGGCCTGGGAGCCACTTCTTGCCTTAAGAGGCTCGCTCAGAGGACTCGGACTTGACCTCCGCGACATTAGTTGGTGTTCGTGTTAGATGCTTCCCTACGGGGAGAATCAATCCTGCTTTTGTTGGGTAGAGAACTGCCTATTAGAACTTTGAAAACTTTTATCTTTGGGGAAAAGGGTGGGGTGCACTCAACAGTTCTGTTTCGAAGTGCATTTGAGGCAAATGCTTGGAAAAAGTACCAATTCCTTTGTTATATGCCCTGCAGCTTCCCAACCCCCTTCACCCTGCGCTTCCAGTTTTGCATACTTTAATAGTAACAGCCTTTATTCAGCTGATAAAAGCTGACTGTGTTGAGTTAAAGAGTATTAGTACAACGGAATGTGTAATCTGGATAAACAGTTTGTGTGGTTAGTATTGTCGGCTCTCTAATTTAACTGTACAGATGGTTTAAGTGTCGTGCTGTATGGATTGTTTTAAGCAATTCCACTGGCTAATAGAATCCTCCTCAGACGAGCACTCGAATATTTTATTTTAAATCAGCTTTAATATTCTCTGTTTCCCTGTAACACCAGGGAGAGGAGCAGCTCTATTTACGTCTAGTGCGTGTGCATCTAGTGGCTTCGGTAGACATCTGCCAATCAACGCACGTCATTCTGCAAATCCACCTAGACGCCTTCATGTCCTTTTCTTACTGGAGGATAGAGTTGTTTAGATAAGTTAACGCTTTGAAATAAATTTGGTGGCTTTTAACGGGCAGCAGCTTGTGATGGGGAATAGGGCTGGTCACTTTGAAGCGTGGGTGTATTCCATCTTCTAAGAAATGCTCTTTGGAATTGGCATTCAGTAAAAACAGTGACCCCTCACCTTAAAAAAAAAAAAAAGCCTGGTTGTGCTATTTGCAGACCTCATTCAGATGTTGTTTACATTTTTGAAAACCACGTAGAAATTGGTTGTGATAAAGGGGTATACTTTTAGGCTAGAAAATGTTTAACTTTAGAAGCTTAGAAATAGGTTGTTGAAGGACAAACATTCGGTTGCATAAGTTACATCTTTATGGCTGCAGCCTGGTCAGTTAGAGTCCGAGTTGGGGAGAGAGGGTTTTGAACATACAAGAATTGACAGAAATTTATAATGTAGTTAGGGAAGAGGTTTGTTATTTTTACCTTCTAATTCATAACTATTATGAAATATACTTGCGCTGGTAAAAGTTGGGATGTTTTCACATAAAATTTTGATCACTTATGCACTAAAACTACTATAGCTGTGTGAGGTAAAGAAACATCCTTGAGGGGTTTCTGTTTATTTTTGAAGTGCTTCAGTTATTTATCTATTACTTAGTAATGCATATTTAAAAGAAACTTCTGTCAGCTAAACTTTATTTTGGAATGCGTTGAATTACTATTTACTGAATGAAAATGGTTGCACTAATGGGCCCTTAATATTTTCTTTTTCTCCAGAAAATTCCTTTTCCACAACTGAATGTCATTTGGGAGAAAATTGGTCCTGGTATAGCATTTGAGACCTTGACCTTAGCAGCAACTCTTGGCTGGCGCTTGTTTACTACAGCTGCAGCCTATGTGTGTACAGAAAGGGAGGGACTGCAAACACTGGTGCGCTCTCTCTCCCCAGACCAAGGGAAAAACAAATCAGGATGCTTGACAATCATTCCGAAGAGCACCCATCAGGCATGTAATAGCATTAGTGTTCTGGTCGTTTTAAAAAAAATCTATGTTCCTCGGGGATTACTTTCCGGCCTCCTGGGAAAGGTAAACATGCACTTCAGCAGACTCAGAGTGAGTTTTAGATGTCATATCATGAAGCAGGCTGCTATCAACGTAATGAAATAATTTGTTCTTAAATATAGGTGTGTTTTCTATCCCCATAAAGATGGCATAAGTGCTTAGGCCTCTAAGCCCATATGAGGGCATTTTGAACTCAAGCCAGTGTTGGTTAATCTAGAGTATTGAGTAACTTGACCAGTGAGGTGATGTTGTTAACTAGTTGAACATATAAACGTCTTGGATATTTTCATCATGGTACAAAATGGAAAGTGTGGAATTTCATATTTCTGCGAATTAATATGAGACTGATCACATTAAATTTGGGGCGTCAAATGTTTTGTTTTCTTTATATTGTGAGAGTAACAGTCCTCTTAGTGTCAACTTCATAAATCTAGCTGTAGATGATCTGTGTATTAATACAAAGAAGTTTGTATTCTGCAAAACTAGAAGTGGCACAAAGTTATTTGAAAAGTTATTCTTTTTTTGGATAAATAAGTTTCTGCGCTTGTGCTTCCATGTTGATTAATGAATAAGAGCTAAAAATCTCCAAAGAGTTTTATTCAGAATCAACGCCATGGTTATCTTTTTCTTTGAGAAAACAACTTTCATTTTTGTAAATAACTCCTAAAATAGATGACAGTGGCTCACCTTTGTGATTTACATTTTGAAAATACCACGTGGTACTGGAGTGGAAATATCTGTATTTTTGCCCAGTGTTCGTTTATTTTCCATTTTAAAATTCACGTTTATTTATTTTTTCAGCCTACACATTATGCACGCCTTTCAGTCTTAAGTATGGACAAAATGTAAGGGTGAAAATATTAAGATTAAATCCCTGGCAACACCCTATAACCACAGCCTTAAGTCATCCACCGCAACCAGGGGTCCCCAAATCAAAAGGCAAGTAACCAGATGGACCTCCCCTGTGCCCAGAAGGGCAGCAGCCTTAGGCTCTGTGAGACCTGCTTGGTTTCTAGATCCCAGGCCCTTCCAGAGAACTGTCTGACTTCAGCTGGCCAGAGTTCATTGTCAGGCGGTAGAGCAGCGACACCCCATCTGATGTCAGCTTTTGTGTTCTTGCGGTAGGGAACACATGCTGTGGATTAAATGGTTACTTTCTCTATATATTCTCAGTAATTATGTTACAAAAGGATTTTTCGCTTTGGGGTGTTTATTGTCATAAAAGTGGCTACTTGAGTAGTCCTGCTGCTCCAATGAAAATTTGTTTTGGTCTGGCAGTAGATTACAGGATATTCACTCAAAGAATTCTGCTCTGGGATGGGCTTTCCTCCTGTCTTTTTTTCCAACTCAAAGTCATACTTTTATTTTGTGGCTAATTTAATGGTATATATTTTTGAATTTTTACTAAAAGCATAGTAACTGGACTGGTCCAAACAGTGTTGCTTTTTAGGTACAGATGCAGTAGCAGAAAGCCCTTGCTGCTGTATTCTGGCGTGGAAGATGAGGGGAAAAACTACAGAGCTTTGGGGTAGTTTTCCCACCCCCATCAGAGGCCATAGAAGCTGCCACTATCACAACTTGTTGGCCTCCACAGCCAGGAATTGTGTTTCACGTGCTACATTCACCATGCTTAACAGTATATATGGCTTTTCACAATAATTGCTGGCATGATGTGTATGTATATACCATATATAAAAATATAGCCACTATTTTAGGTATGTACATATATATGTGTACATACATAGTATTTATATTTATGAATGTGAGTTTTTATATTCTCTACCTGTATAGGTACATACCCCATACATAAACCGTGTACGTTATGACCACGAATTATGGTAAAAAGTCCCCTTCCCACTTGCATAAAAGAGGAGAAGAACAAGCCGAGTTTGTTTTTCAAATTCTATGTTTAGTAATACTATTTTCACTTTAGTTTAACAAGCAGACTTAAAACATGAAAACAGTCCTGCCCCAAAGAAAACAAACCAACAGACTTACATGACAACCAAGGTAAATGATTGTAAAAAATGAAATAAATAACTGTAAAGAAAACCTTCATTCATTTCATAATCGGGTGTCTGCTAAGATTATACATCCTGAAATCAGGACTGATTTAAGCAGAGATGTTGCAGTTTGAGCCTGGCTCTCTTGCTTGCCAACTCTGGATGACCTTTGTTAAATTTCTTAACGCCTCTGAGTCTTTAAAATGGGAAAAATCATATGCAGTTTACAGGGCTGTGGTGAGGGTAAGATGAAATA